CTTTGTAATGAGTTGAGGAAACATTACATGTAGTCTCACCATTTTTACACGCATATTTTTACATTTACGAGTCAATTTCTAAGATTATCCAATTTTTACCATTTTTTATGTGTAATAGCCCATGGATATGACGTCTTTGGAACACCTAAAAAAATTGTTAAAAAGACTTGTGAGGACCTCCATAAATGAGTTGGGAAGTATTACTTATGGTCTCGTCATTTTTTCATGCATATTTTAACGTTACTAGCACATTTTGGAAATTACCTGACTTTTATCGTTTTCTGTGTGTATTAGCCCATGGATCTGGCGTCTTTGGGGCATCTGAAATTATTTTCTTAAAAAATTATATAAGGACCACGGTAATGAGTTGGGAAACATTACGTATAGTCCTGCCATTTTTTACACGTATATTTTTGCATTTATGAGTCAACTTTACGAAATTTTCCAATTTTAATCATTTTGTGTGTGTATAAGCTTGTAGTTCTGACGTCTTTAATTTGGGCACTCAAAAAAAATCAAAAAAATTATATGTAGACCTCCATAATATGTTAGAGAAGCATTACGTATAGTCCCACTATTTTTCACACATATTTTTGCATTTAAGACTCAACTTATAGGATTTTCTCTACTTTCTAGGTTCTTGTGTATTATAGCACATGGATCTAGCGCTTTTGGCGCACCCAATTTCATTTTGATATGAGTTGGGGAAGCACTACATAGAGTCCCGCCATTTCTTTCACACATATTTTTGTATTTACAAGTCAACTTTTAGAAATTACTCAACTTTTTAGTTTTTTGTGTGTACCTACGGATCTGGTGCTTTTTTGACGCTCGAATTTTTTTTTTTTAAAAAAAAACTATATGAGAATTTCCGTAATTATTTGGGAAAGTATTTATATAGTCCCGATGTTTATCACACATATTTTTATATTTACGAGCAAACTTTTAAGAATTACCTGAATTTGTTGGAAAAAAAAATTCAATCTCGTAACTTCAAATTTAAGTTACATTAAGGGCCCGTTT